CCATCTTCTCGTCTATCGATTATATTACAATCTAAAACTGAATAACGACTTAACGCGTCTACATGACTCATATTTTTACTTGGTTGGTGTTCGATCTTATACTTAAATTCTTCTAGCAATAACGCCCAACGCGCTACGCGCACACACAAGTCCTTTTTACTCATAGTCGCTGTGAATGCACGATAATCCGTTACAATAGTAAATGGAATTCCTATTAAATATACGCGGAATCTTTTAAGTGCTATTGCTAATACTTCCAATTCATAACTCGTGTATTTTTGTTCAGCTGCAATAGTTTTGCTACTATAATAAATCGGATGAAACGCATTATCTTTCGTGCTTCTTTGCAAGAGTATCGCGCCGAATCCAAGTATTGAAGCATCCGTATGCAGTTCAGTCTCTGCGCCTATTATATATAAATTTAATACAGGTTTATTAACTAACATTTCTTTCAGTTGAATAAATGCTTCTCTTTCTTTTTCGCCAAAGATATATTTAGTATTTGCCTTTAATAGATCGCTTAATGGTCGCGCAATAGTAGAATACTGAGGTATTTTCGGAAATATCCGCTTAATCCTAAAAAACTTTGCATTTGCTTCACATTAGAAGGTTCAAGAAATTTCTGCACCGCCTCTATTTTGCGTTTAGATGGGTACACACGTCCGCCTTCAATAATATGACCCAGAAATTCAACTCGATATTGTAAAAATTTACACTTTCGCCAATTTATTATTAATCCGGCTTCGCTCGCAGTTTTTAACACTGTCTTAAGATTCGCTATTCCATTTTTACAATCCGAGGATGGAATTATCAAGTTGTCCATATATGTTAATACTATCTTATCTTGAATAAGATCCCTGAACACAATATTTATGAATCTTTGAAACACGACCGGGGAATTACATAGGCCGAATGGAACACGTAAAAATTCATAGTGACCATCTGGGGTTATAAAAGCTGTATATTTTCGGCTTCTATCAAAACATGAAAAAAACCATTTTTTAGGTCTAATGTGCTAAAGAAATTCGCGTTTTGCAATAAGTCTAATTGATCCTCGATAATTGGTAATGGATATCGATCTTTAACTATTTTCTTGTTTAGCAATCGATAGTCGACGCACAGTCTAACCGAATTATCTTTTTTCCTTGTTAGTATCACCGGGCTCGCGTACTCTGATAACGATGGTTGTATAATGCCGTCGCGTAACCATTCGTTTATTTGTGTATTTACTTGCTCTCTTTCTGCTGCTGCTAATCGTCTAGCTCGTTGATAAACAGGTTTATCGTCTTTAAGTACTATCGTCATTTTAATATCTATTTCTCGCGATTTATTAGGGTTATAGATAGTAACTAGCTCTTTAATTTGATTTTTATATTCCAAATCTGTTATATGCGATACGTTTATTTCGTCATTCTCTTCAAAATTTAAATCGATCTGGTAAATTTCAGGCGTGTTCTCGTTTATGCATGAAGGTTCTGATAACGGATTAATTGAGATTTTACCCGCCGTTATTGTCATTTCGATTTTATTGAGAAAATCTGTACCTACGATTAGTTCAAAATTTAAGTGCATCTGACACAACGTGTATTAGAATAGAACATGTATTTCCATCTATTGTCAAACTTGCATTAAATTCACCCAAGGTTGAATTATCGCTCGAGCCTACACTGCGAAATCGAATTTGCTTTAGATTTAATTGAGAAGAGCCCAATTTAATGTACTTATCGGAACGCAATAAACATATGTCACTTCCGGTGTCAATAAGAGCTAACATTTTATGACCGTTAATTTCGACCTCTTTAGTATATTTTCTACAAACAGTACGCATATCCGTATTGATACTTCCTACTGTATTTTTCTTTTTTGCACACTTCGCTGTGATATGAACCTCGCTCACCGCATTAAAAGCATTTTGGTCCTTCTGTTTTTGTTGGACAGTCTCCGCTCATGTGATTACGCAGTCCGCAATTAAAACAACGTTTCTCGGTCTCACTCCTCGTTATATTTTTCTTCTCGGTTTTCTCGCCTCCACGATGTCGCTGAGCTCCGTTGCTTTGTTTCTGTTGTTCTTCCTTCTTTGCATCGTTCATCAGGATCTTGTCTTTGAGTGTCACTTTCTCGAATGCTTGTAGTCGTAAGTTCTCGATGCTTTCGTCGTAAGTTTACTAATGTGTACTCTCAAGCTCGCTACTGGTATTCCCTCGATGATATAATCGATGATCTCGTCTTCGCTAATTGGTATACGATTAGCAAGGATTATTTTTTCGTGAACGTATTGATGGAATGTTTCCTCTTTTTTCCATATACGCTCCTCAAACTGTTTTCTTAATAGCATCCTGCTGGGACGATGGTTATACATTTCTCGCATTTTGCTTAATAAAACGTCCACCGGTAGTTCAATGTGCTGCGGTTTAGAGTGCAACCAACTTGAAACTTTCCCTTTTAATCGCATGCCAATCAGGATTCTGACGTACTCATCGGATAGATGATACGTTGCCTTTAACAATTTTAGCTGCTTTTCCCAGACTTCGTAGTCTCCGGTACTGCCATCAAAATAACCAAGTAAATCCGCAATAACTGTTATACTAGCTTTCGACAGATCGTGTGAAATGTTTTCTCGTCTTGTTCCTCGATCCCGTTCCGCTGTACTTAGTTGTTGCATCTCTCTTAGCAGTTCTATTTCTCTTCGCGCGAGTTGTAATTCTCGTTCTGCTAACTCTTTTTCTCGACGAAATATTTCCAATTCTCGTTCATATTGAGATATTGACGTCGGAGCTTTAGCTTCGGATTCGCCTTGGTCTCTTTGGATTGCATTGGCATTGCGGAAATTTCTTCTATCCACTTACACGATGGATCTGTTTCGTTTAATCGACTGATTAATTCAGCTTTATTTCCTGCCGAAGAAAGGCCTCGCTCTCGCAATTTTTCCTTCAGTTGGTTCACTGTAAAATCTGTTGGGTTTCTCGTACTCATTTTCCTACACAGTTTATCTCACAGCTTGTCTCACCGTTACTCTCGATATTCTCGCAGTTTTTCTGTCACTTTCGCGACTCACTTTATTTAATTCTCTTCGCACAATTCTGTTCGCTCGAACGAGCCCCCAAATGGGATCACCCTCAATTAATACGCACGTAATAGGGTATATAATAGCTTTATTTTAGTATACAATAGCTTTATTTAAAAGAATACGTTCCACACTCGTTCACTTTTCTCGCTCGACTGCCAGAACTCGACTCCACTCGACTTCTCCGTCCTCAGGACTCGTGTTTATATTTTATGCCACATCCTTTGTGTGGCCTTTTCTAAGAGGAAAACTTGTCTCCGAAATGAGCCTCGCGGCTCACATGTCACACACATTAACATATACATGCACGTACACACTAGATACAACATACGCACATATAACTAATCCTACAGTGATAATATAATTAATATGTATATGTGATAATATAATTAATATAACAAATATTGAGAAAAGCTCTCTTAAGTTTAAACATAAAAAAAGGAAGATAAAAGGCGGTAGAGAGCATAAAATTACATAATCGTATAAAATAGTTTAATAAAATAGTACAGACCGATAAAGAAAAGCAAATTCAGTACAATTTGAGTAATTACAACTCTCTTTTTGAACAATGCGTTATTGACCTTTTACAATCGAATAATACGTATTGAACTTAGAGACACTTACTATCTTATTAGAAGGAATTATGAAAGAATGTTTCACTTATCCACCGAAATATATAGGTATCTACCTGTGTCTGTCTGTATTAATTTTTTCAATAGACAAAGCCGTCCTTTATTTTGTTTCTACCGTAAGAAAGACTATAGATTTGACAAAAAATTTAATTTTTTATTATCTAAACAACGCAACTTAAATTGTCTCAAACTTGTTCATTATTATTGTCATCAATATCCTTCTACATCGAATAATGATTCTATTCCCCAACGGCAATTTAAATGGGCATTCAATATTAATAATGCACCATCAAATGATACCGTCGACGTTTTGATTGATCCTAACAAGTATCCTAACTCACATTCGAACTTAAATGAGTTAAGGAACAAATGGTTTGTCAACCTATCTAATGTGAACATTCCGGTTGAGATTCAATGTTTTTTACAACTGGGTGAGAATTTTAGCCTTCCTCACATCAACACTCTCAAGTTAACTATGGAATTCATAAAACATGTAGAATGCAACTTGTGGAAGATTCCTCCTGAATTAAGAAACCTTATTAGAGACAATTCGAAATCCATAATTAAATATATTTTCTCATTTTCTTATCCTAGAAATTTACATAATGAATGATTGATACGCCTTTATTCGACCACAAAAAATTTTCTCCATAATAACAAAGATCTCATCCTCACTCGTGCTGACAAGGGTAACGTTACTGTAGCGATATACTGTCTCGATAAATCCGATTATTTTTTAGTTTTGCTCCGTGATGAGAACACCTATGTAATAATCAAAAAAGATCCTACTAAAAAATTGATTTCGAATTTGAAAGAACTATTATCTAGATGGAAGAATCACGGTTATATCTCTAATGTAGCTTATAAATCTCTTCTGTTCACCGATGGTATCTTGCCTAGAGCTTATGGTTTGCCTAAAATCCATAAGATTGACATTCCATTCAGACTCATTGTTTCTTCTATTAATAGCCCACTTTATTCTCTCGCATTATTTTTGCACAAGGTCATAATTAAGAACTTGCCTGTTGCCTCTAGTCAGGTTAATAACAGCTTTGATTTAGTACATAATTTGGCGAATGTCCATATGGATGATAACTCTAAACTGATCTCTCTGGATGTCATTTCCTTATTCACGAATATTCCTATTGATCTTGCTCTTCTCAGCGTCTCGAACAGATGGTGTTTTATACGTGATGCGTGTGATCTGCCCCGAATCCGAGTTTTTAAATGCAGTCAGACTAGTTTTAAACTCTACTTTTTTTACTTTTAATAACATCATATACAAACAAACTTTTGGTACTCCCATGGGATCTCCTTTATCACCTATCATAGCTGATATTGTCTTACAAGACCTAGAAAAGAATGCTTTGAATATGCTCAAATTTACCCCCCGTTTTTATTTTAGATACGTTGACGATATTTTAATGACAGTTCCTTCCGACTCTATTGACATGACTCTTTCTATTTTTAACTCATTTCATGACAGACTACAATTTACATCTGAATTAGAAGTTGACAGAAAAATCAATTTCCTAGATGTAACTATAATTGTGGAAAATAATGCTTTAATTTTTGACTGGTTTCATAAATCTACATTTTTGGGCAGATATTTAAATTATTATTCCCAACACCCGTTATGCCAGAAGAAGGGCACGATAATCGGCCTTGTTGTTAGGGTTTTTTCTTTATCACATCCAAGATTTCACAGCAAAAACCTTGATCTTATCGTTAGAATCCTTTTGGACAATTGCTATCCGCTGAACGTCATTTTTGAAGTCATGAATAAGAGGCTGAGATTCTTGATCGGTAGTCATGGTCGCATTGTTAATGGGACGCAGAATAGTTCCCCCACTTATTTCACTGTTCCGTATTTACCAAACGTTACAGAACAGTTTAGGAACATCACAAAAAACTTGGATATTAAACTTTCCTACACCAGTTTAAATAAACTAAACAAGTTTATAAAAGTGCATAAAGACTGCATTCCTAGTAACTACAAAACTAACGTAGTCTATAAAATTAACTGCTCTGATTGTGACGCTTCTTATATCGGTCAAACTTCGAAAATGCTGAAGACAAGAATTTTTGAACATAGATCTCAGATTAACAGGAATCATGTGACTCCTTCAACTGTCACAAGTCACAGACTGCAGTGTGATCACTTTTGTTGGGATGATGTTCAGGTTTTAGACGAAACTTCATCTTATTATAAAAGACTTATTTATGAAATGTTGTTTATTAAGAGACAAAAGAATGGTTTAAATTTGCAGACAGACACAGAAAATGTACCGTCTTTATATCTTGACATTATAAACAAGTTACCGAAAATTTGAAAGTCATGCTTAGGTATATATACGAGCCATCTCGCTGGCACTTTTACACAGTAACCGATCTTTATGTCGAACCTTATTGTCTTCCGACCTTTAATATTACTGCTGAGCGATTTCTTCGTGAGTATTTTTTGATAATTTCTTATATCATAATAATAATTCAATCTAATAGTGCCAAATTTTAGGCTACATTTGGTACTGCTGTCGAGTTTTCGTTCAGCATCTATTGTACTTGCATAATAAGGTTCCTGTATTTCACGTCATGGAGATTTATTATTTTTTCGACAAGCGATTACTGTCTTTGCGGCATTGCGTTCTTGATTCCTGTTTTTTATAATATTAATTATCATTTATTTTTATATTAGTTCTATTATGTCCTCACCGTACCATTATTTATATCTTATTTGTCATTGCGCTGAAGAAGGCTCGAAGCAAGAGCCAGAAACGTTCGCTATTATATTTATTTATATTATTTTTATTTGTAATTACTCAAATTGTACTGAATTTGCTTTTCTTTATCGGTCTATACTATTTTATTAAACTATTTTATACGATTATGTAATTTTATGCTCTCTACCGCCTTTTATCTTCCTTTTTTTATGTTTATAATTAATATAATTACGGTGATAATATAATTAATATAAGTACGGTGATAATATAATTGCATGTTCTAACATATTATTGCGCTCCTCGTCCATGTTTTCACTAGGGGTAGGTAATATAAAGTCTAGCTCATTCGTTATCAAGTCGAAATGTAACATGCCTAAATGGTTCATTTTATATGTTTTGGTCAATACGTTATATACACGTTTGTATGTTCGAAAACATTCTTTGCAATCGGTGATGGGTTGCACCTCCGTTAGTATTCCTTCACATTCCGGTCTTTGACAGCGCTCGATGGTATAAGGTCCTTGGCTAAATTCGTGTCGACTGTATGGTTTTGAATTCGATGAAAAATCCATGAATTTGGAGGAAAGCAATCCGCGCAATATTTTAATAACGGATACAGTGACTCTTTATAATACGCCCCGTGGTCTTCACGCACTTCATTGTCCGCAAGCCATGCAGAAATAGATTGGGCTGAAGTTGCTAGTATATCGGGATGCACATGCTAGTGCGGAAAAAAAATAAATAAATAAAAATAAATAAAAATAAAAAAAAACGAAAATAATCTAATTATCCATTGTATTATAATATTTCTTATTACTTATTTTCTTTATCTTTATTTCTTATCTTCCTTCTTTTTCTTATAATATATATATTTAACGTTATATATCTTCTGTTCACTATCACTCGACGTTCACTTGATTCTTTTCACTGGCCAATTCGATACTGACAGTTGCTCTATTTCTTAAACGCTCGCTGCCTTCATCTCTACCATAGACCCTATCTACTGTTTTCATTCCAATGGGATACTTGAAACTCCCATATGTTTATTCTAAGTATCACTCATCACTCTCCCGCTATCCATCTCTTTCTCTCTTACAATATTTTACAATTGCGCGTGTGTGACACAATGTATTATACTATTAAAAGAAATATTAATAAAGATTTTTTCGTCTTTTTTATATTTCATATATTTTTTTTTATGTAACGCATATCTTACATACTTATATTAAGAATATAAATACATATAGTATTTTATATATTTTTATGTATATTTTCATTTCTTGAAAATGAAAAATAAGCACTATATGATTAATTAAATCACATTGTCCTTATGTATCCAAGAGTTGTGCGAATTGTCAAATCCGAGCCATTTCACGTAAACCTCGTCACCCCTCTGCGCAGTACTTTCTCCACGAGATACACGTCAGGATAATTCGCGCGATGCAACTCGTGTTCGTAGAACGCTCCAACGATAGGTTTTTTGCGATAATCCTCAAGTAGATAACTTACGGGATTAGTATGCTGCACTTTTACAATTTTAAACACTTCGGTTATTCAATTTGGCGTGTAACCCTTCTCGAAAACTGTACTTGCTAACGCGTACCGAGTCACCTACTTTGAATTTCGCCGGACCCGCAATATTTACACGGTTGTATAAAGTAGCCAAGAATCTTTCGGCGATCGCGAGGGTAACATCGACGGGTCGCATACCGATCGTTCGATGCTTGCGCGCGTTATAATCCGATACGAGTCCCGGCAACGCGTTGACCCACTTGTAAGATCCGTTCAGTAAACATCTTCCACATGTCGTTTTTCAGCGTGCGATTGAATCGCTCGACGACCGATGCCTTCAATACTGAATACGTAGAATAATGATTGATGCTGTGTTTTCGCATGAGCAGTTGCACGTCGGCGTTATAAAATTCCTTCCCCATGTCGGTCTGTATGTTTTTCGGACACCTCTCGCTATCTCGAATTATCTCGGCGATAGCGTTAGCTGTCTCGCTTCCGCCTTTACTTTTGAGCGATACAGCCCACGCGTGCTTACTCAACGCATCGATGACTGTGAGTATGTAGTTGTAACCTTTGTTGAAACGAGAGTACAGACGCATCTCGACGATGTCGGCTTGCCACAGGTCATCGTATCCTCGCACTATGACGTGTCTTCGAGGGAAATTTTTTTTCGCCGGTGCGTGCAGTTCATTCACCAACTGCCATTTCTCTAAACTATGTTGTTTCTTCGTTTTCTCGGTTATTCCCGATCGTCGACCCATCGTTGTTTTGATTCGTCGATCAAATGATACGTGTATCACCGTGCGTTTTATTATTCGTTGTCACTCTTTAGCCGTTCGATTGCCGTTGCTGATCCGTTCAATTGCTGTTTATAGCCGTTCGTTAGCCGTTCGTTAGTCGTTATTTAGCTGTTTACTGTCGTTGGATAGCTGTTCACTGCCGTTTTTGAACGTGATTGACCCTGTTGATAGTCGTTTTTAAGTAGTCCGTAGCCTCGTTCACAGTCGTTTCTGACCCGTTCGTAGCCTCGTTGACAATCGTTTTTGACTCATTCGTAGCCGTTCCGGACTTGTATGCCGCTTCGTATGTAGTCGTTCCTGATGTGTTCATAGCCTTGTTCGCAGCCGTTCTTGAGGTGCTCGTAGTCTCGTTCGCAGTTGTTCTTGAATTGTTCGTAGCCTCGTTCGAGGCCGTTTCCTTTTCGATCACTGCCACTCATTATAGCTCGATAACCGTTCGATAATCGTTCGTAGCCGTTCGGTAAACCTTTCTAAATGTTTAATAATTGTACAATAGCCGCTCTTAAGTCGTTCACTACAGCACATTACAGGTTGATAGCCGTTTCTGTATTAATGTTAATCATACGACGAAGCTCGTTTATCGCAGTCTGCAAAGCTCGCACGTCCTTCTCGAACGCAGTCAGCTTCTCATCTGATTCTTTCCGTTGATTCTTCAACGTTTTAATGCATTCTTCCACATACAGTTTGTTAACTGCATCGGTATCAGCCTCAGGTTGCGCTACACGGCGAATCTTGCGCGACCTTGCGTCATAATCCGTAGCGACACGACATAGAGCGTTTTGACGCAAGTAACTTGTCACCAAATTACCCCAATGATCGCTTGTGCTGATTTCTTCATTTCTCCGTTCGAATAATCCAAATTTGTTGATAGGCATTGTTTTTCGATGCGAGTGACGTCGATTGACTGATTAGTTTCATCGAGACACCGTTTAATTTATAATAAGGCTGGCTTCACGAAGTTCCTCTATGATCGACAGGATCTCGTTGTCGTGAGCGTTGTGGCCAGCTTGACGTGTAGCATCGAGCACTAGCTCGTTAGGATCGTCCCAGTGCACGTAATCGATCTTATTGTCGGTTAGCGTCATCGCACGAGACGTGAATACTCCCGTTCCTGTTTTTTTCTATTTCGATTCAATCGACATCAACGGCGCGATTATTTGTTTATATTTGTATTCCTTGTTGCTCTTTAATTGACCTTGCGTATCATATTAACATTTATACGCACTCGTTACCATCAATATGCTCTTATATTTTTGCACATCGTCCTCAGTGTATATGACATCATCAGGAATTCTCTTGAAGATCAACTCGTATAATCCTGGTATACCAATGTATTTCACTTTGTCTATGATTATAGAGTTATCTTTGTCAATGTCGAATCGTTTGTTACCGAGACGCATTCCATTCTCGTCGAAATAGACGCTGTACACGTGATCGATCGCGTTTTTTCTTTCGTCGCCGCTAAGAAGAGCGTCCATGTATTTTTATCCCAGTGGTCCCAAGTGCTCTCGTAACACTTCTTGACCTTCTGATGTTTGTAACATGTTTCGAACGGATGTTTCGAGTTTGCGGGTTGCCCGTGGTTTCGAAAACATTTTCGATCGCGAGTGATTCGAGTATCGCGGGTTGCGCGATTCTCAGTGTCGCGGACGATGTAGAGGTTATCGGCGGTTCATCCGATAAAGCATCCGATAGATTGGATATACGCGGCATCGATAAACGCTTCGCCTTCAATCATTTCCTCTTTTTCGGTGTCGCATCCTCCTCCTTCTCCTCCTCCTCCTCCTTGTATCGCTTGATGGGTAACGTTTTAATCTTCGTGTCAGTGTTACTTTCCGGCTCGTTTTTCACCGCGATTGCGCTAGAGTTGTCAACAATCTTTTGCAGTGGCTCGATAATAGGCCTAAAATGGGTCGCGATATCTTCGTCGATCTTACCGGTCTTCAAAGCGCGATGTTTCTTGATTGATCGCTCGTTTTTTCAATTTCCCGCGCAATCTTTTCACGTTCGCGAATATTATCGCTTCCAGCATATTGACGGAATGTCGAGCGTTTCACCCTTCTCGACGGAATGTCGACAGCGACTAATCGTTTTGCGGTATCGCGAACACGTTAAATCCTTTTCTGTATCGCCCGTTCGTAAGCGCGCTGTTCTTATCAATAACTAGGAATCCATACTTTTACTGCCAACAAGTACGGCATAATTCACTGAAATCCTCGTATAACATGTCGGTATTCACGTGATCGTTGTACACGTTTCAAATTTGTACCGTCTTGTTTAAACAAGATCAGCAGGTTCGCG